ATATATTTAAGGTACTGCCATTATAACCCTTTGTGTTACCGCATCTTGATACAAGTTACTAAGAAATGCTTAACACATTGTAGTAGACACATCTCTCCTTTTTCTCTATTGCAGCTCAGCAGAGAACAAAATCACTTCCTAATAAAGAGGATTCAAGGGCCCAAGACAAATAAGGATTTACTCACTGGATAAGGGAAGGCAAAACACGGCAATGCACCAAATGCTAGCCTGGCAGGTCACACACACACACACACACACACACACACACACACGGCACTGCTCATGAGAAGCTGCCGGCTGCTGGCAGGTGGAGCATAGCCTTGCATGGTCCTGGCTTCCTGTTGATGTCCTGTGCACTGGCCCATCCTTTCCGTTTAGTTTGCAAACACCTCAGGGCGGGGCAATGTTAGGCACAGATGACCTATCAAGGATACAGGAGACATTCAAGAAATCCCACCTGATCCATGGTGCCAGCAGAGGGCAATTAGGATCTCTGGGGATGCCATGCCACCTTTTCTTTAAGATGAACTCAAGGACTACCCGGGCCACTGTTTTCTCCTCTTTTGATCAAAGTAATATATGTTGATGGCAAGACATCAAGTAGTCCTGAAAAGCATATAGTGGGTTGAACTGTGTCCTCCAAAATGTTATGTTGAAGACTTAACCCCTGGCACCTGTGAGTGTGACCTTATTTGAAGATAGTCTCTGCAGATGCAATCAAGTTATGATGAAGTCATTAGAGTAGGCCCATATCCAGTATGACCAGTGTTCTTGTAAGAGGAGGAAAATGTGGATAGACACAGAGGAGAATGTCTTGTGAAGACATAAAGATGGTGGCAGAGACTGAAGCTGGGCTGCCACCAGCCAAGAAACATCTGGGGTCATCAGATGCTGGAAGAGCAAAGAAAGATTCTCCCTAGAACTTTCAGGGGGAGAATGGCCCTACAGACACCTTGATTTGGAACTTCTGTGAGACAACACATTTATGTTGTTTTAAGTCACTCAGTTTTTGATTCTTTGTTAGGGTGGCCCTAGGTATCTAATACTATCAGAAACAATGGCCTGTAACCCTCTCCTCCCAAATCCTTCCACAGATGTAACCATCTGTATTTTAGAGTTTTCCTATTTGAATATTTTAACTGTCATGGTTTCTAATATTTTATCAAGGAGGAGTTAAGGCATAGTGATGGAGCAGGAGGAGAGAAAGCGTTCTAGCATTACAAAATGAAAATACACAACATATCACTGTAAAATATAGTATAATTGGGAGATCTCAGGTGCTAAAATAATTGACTAACTACAATAATTACTACTCTGTAGCCCAGAAACCAGCCACTTGGGTACATAGCAGTCCTCACTGAGAAAGTAAAACACCTAAAGAAAGTGAGGGTGTAAGCCATGTGGACCCCTTGGGGAAGGACACTTCAGGAAGAGAGCAGTAAGTGCAAAGGCCCTGAGACAGTAACATGGTTGGTATGTTCGAAGATGAGTAGGGAGGCCCACGTGGAGGACATAGGAAGTGAAGTGGCATGGGCTAGATCACACAGGGCTCTGTAGGCCCTTGGTAAGGCCTTGTGCTTTCCCAACTGGAGAGATCTCAGTAGAGGACTGACAATATTTGCTTTACGTGATAACAACACTCCAGCTCCCGGGCACAAACACAAAAACCAGTAAGGAGACCACTGCAATAATCCTGGTGGGTCACTGTGATGTCTTGGACCAGGGTGTGGCACTGGGGGTAAAGAGAAGTCATCAAACTATGGATCTATTTTGGAGACAGAGGAAAGGTAGGGCTGAAGGATTTGGTGTGGCATAAGTGAAAGAGAGGTGTCAAGGATGAAAGCTTTAGGCCTGAGCAACGGGGAACAGCAGAGGTAGGGAGAACTGTAGGAGGGACTGGCTTGGGAAGGAAGATACGGGGAATTCAGGTTGGGTTATGTTAAGTCTAAGATGTGACCAGACACCCAAGTGGAGGTGTTGAGTCAGGCATATGGGCCTGGAGTTCAAGGGGCAGGGGGAGGATCTGTTCTAAAGACATCATGTGGGAGTCATCATCATAGAGATGGCATTTATTTATTTATTTATTTTATTTGACAGAGAGAGACATAGCGAGAGTAGGAACACAAGCAGGGGGAGTGGGAGAGGGAGAAGCAGGCTTCCCGCAGAGCAGGGAGCCCGATGTGGGACTCGATCCCAGGACCCTGGGATCATGACCTGAGCCGAAGGCAGACGCTTAACGACTGAGCCACCCAGGAGCCCATAGAGATGGCATTTAAAACCGGAAAACCAATAAATGAAGCCCAAAGTTAGTAGAAGGAAGGAAATAACAAAGATCAGGGTGGAAATAAATGAAATAAAGACTAAAAAGATAATAGAAAAGTTCAGTGAAACAAAGAGCTACTTCTTTAAAAAGATCAACAAAATTGACATGCTTATAGCTAGACCTACCAAGAAAAAAAAGAGAGGGCTCAAATAAATAAAATCAGAAACGCAAGAGGAGCTGTTACAACAGACGCCACAAAGGATCATAAGATACTACTATGAATAATTATATGCCAACAAATTGGACAACCTAGAAGATATGGATACATTCCTGAAAACATACAACCTTCCAAGACTGAATCATGAAGAATTAGAAAGTCTGAACAGACCAATTACTAGTAAGTAGGTTGAATTAGTCATCAAAAACCTACCAACAAACAGAAGTCCAGGACCAGACGGCTTCACTGGTGAATTCTACCAAACATTCAAAGAGGAATTAATACCAATTCATCTGAAAATGTTCCCAAAAATTGAAGAGGAGGAAATCCTTCCAAATTCATTTTTATGAGGCCAGCATTACTCTAATACCAAAACCAGACACGGACACAAGAAAATTACAGGCCAACATCCCTGATGAACATAGATACAAAAATCCTCAGCAAACTGAATTCAACAATACATTAAAAGGATCATACACCATGATCAAATGGGATTTATTCCAGAGATATAAGGATGGTTCAACATCTGTAAATCCATTAACATGACACACATTAACCAAATAAAAGACAAAAATCATCTGATTATCTCAATAGATGTAGAAAAAGCATTTGACAAAATTTAACATTTATTTATGATAAAAGCTGTCAACAAAGTAGGTATAGATATATAGGTATAGGTATTACCTCAATGTAATAAAAACCATATATGACAAGCCCATAGCTAACATCCCACTTAATGGTGAAAAACTAAAAGCTTTTCCTCTAAGATCAGGAATAAAATAAGGATGCCCACTCTTGCCACTTTTATTCAACATAGCATTGGAAGTCCTAGGCACAGCAATTAGGTAAGAAAAGAATTGGAATCCAAATTGGATTGGCATCCAAATTGGAAAGAAAGAAGTGAAACTGTCAAGATTTGCAGATGACATGATTTTACATACAGAAAACCTTAAAAACTCCACCAGAAAAAACCCATTATAATAAATGAATTCGGTAAAGTTACAGGATACAAAATCAGTATACAAAAATCTGTTGTGTTTCTATACACTAACAATGAACTATCAGAAAGAAAAATTCAGAAAAAAATCCCATTTACAATTTCATCAAAAAGAATAAAATATCTAGAACTAAATTTTTTTTTAAAGATTTTATTTATTTGAGAGAGAGAGAGAGCACGAGAGGGGGGAAAGGCAGAGAGAGGGAGAAGCAGACTCCCCAAGCAGGGCTTGATCCCAGTACCCCAGGATCATGACCTGAGCTGAAGGCAGACGCTTAACTGACTGAGCCACCCAGGCGCCCCTGTGCAGAAGCTTTGTAGTTTGATGTAGTTCCACTTGTTGATTTTTGCTTTTATTTCATTTGCTTTTGGTGTCAAATCCAAAAAATCGTGACCAAGCTTGATGTTAAGGAGCTTACTGTGTGTGTGTGTTTGTGTGTATGTGTGTATGTGTGTGTGTTTAGGAGTTTTATGGTTTTAGGTCTTACATTCACATCTTCTTTTAAATAGAGCCCAAATAAGCAAACTTTTAGACATTTAGGGTCCATCTGCTTTTCATACCTTCAGCATATACTCGGCATCTGCTGACCATTGATCGAAAGGGCCTAGTGGTTATCAGATGCCAAGCCTTTTAAGTTCTAAGACTCCTCCTGTCCTTCAGAGCTATCAGACCCAGAGACTCCACCTAAACACGAAAGGGCCCTCTTTAATTCCCCATTCTCTGGGGGTTCCCTGCCCTCCTCTTCTTCTGAGAAGTAACCCCATGGTGTGGTTTCTAGACAGATTCCTGCAGTGAAAAACACCCCCTCCCTTGTTAACCTGTCGGAGCAGGGCCACCACTCAGTAAAGCATGTGGGTGCTACTGCCACCTCATGGTCATATCTTTTTCTTCGCTCAGACCCCAAATCCTTCCACCACCCTACACCTAGCAGTGTGTAGACAAAAAAGGGCAACTGTGCAACTGCTAAGCCCTGGGGCATGTCAACATGGTTCTAAACATTCATCTCAGAGATGAAGAGGAACCAGAAACAGAGATGGAGGAAGAATAGCCAGAAAGGGAGGGGGGAAACCAAACGAGTTGTGTCCTAGGAGCCAGGTGAGAAAGCTGTCGCAAGGAAAGGGGTCGCCCATGTCAAATTCTGCCCGGAGGTCTAGAGGACCTCGAAGCTCTGGATTTCACTTTACACCTTTTGTCGCGGCTTGCTCCAAACCGGCTCCCTGATGTGGTTGCTCCAAAGTGCTGCTCTCCTGCTCTCTTCACCACACACTCCCTCTCACTTCACTTACATCTACCGTCAGCACATCTCTTAGTCGGCCACCTAGCACATATTTTAGGCTTTTTTAAATTATTATGTTATGTTAGTCACCATACAGTACATCATTAGTTTTTGATGTAGTGTTCCATGATTCACTGTTTGCATACAACACCCAGTGCTCCATGCAATACGTGCCCTCCTTAATACCCATCACCGGGCTAACCCATCCCCCCACCCTCCCCCCCCATGTTTAACCTTTGAGGGCCACATGGTCTATGCCACAAATATTCAACTCCAGGTTATTAATGGAACTATGTAAGAGGCCAAAAAAAAAAAAAAAAGGGAGGAGGGGAGAATGGGAGGTGGGAAGAGAGTACATATTAATTTCCTATACTTCAAAGATTTGATTCTTCTCCATAAAGGATCAAAAAGCAGAGGGTGTCTAGTAAATGTTGATGGGAGTAGTTAATAGCTTATCAGTTACTCTTTCAGTAGCTATTCAGGGACTCACATTTCTTGTCATCTGACCTGTGCTACTTAAGTTCAAGAAAAACCTGTAATCTATTTTGCAAAAATTAACACTAGCCTAGAGGCAACAATATATTTCAAATACAGATATTAGATACACCACCTGGCTGCTAATCAGCCTGCTTCTAGGTGCTGACAATAATTCTCCCCTTTGGGGTATTTGCAGGTCTTGGCACACCCTCAATTACTGGGATCACTAAGAACAAAGATGGTGGTTTAGATGATCACAAAGGTTTTTTCTTGGGGGGGAGGGGCAGAGGGAGAGAGAGAATCTTAAGTAGGCTCCATGCCCAGTGCAGAGCCCGATGCAAGGCTCTATCTTACAACCCTGAGATAATGACCTGAGCTGAAATCAAGAGTTGGATGCTTAACCAACTGAGCCACCCAAGCGCCCCAACAATCATAAAGGTTTGACAAACAGGAGCTCAAACTGAGCTGACTGGCGAGGCTTATCTCCTACACAAGACCAATTTGTCAAGATTGGAAGAGATTGCTGTCATATCTAGTATGTAAGCACCAACATAGAGAGTAAAGAAAAAATAAAGAAACAGAGGAATGTGTTCCAAACAAAAGAACAAATGTCCAGAAACAGATCTTAAAGAAAGAGAGATAAGTGATTTATCTTACAGAGAATTCAAAATGATGGTCATAAAAATGCTCACCATGGTCAGGTCATGAACAAAGTGAGAATTTCAAAAGACAGAAAATATAAGTAAGTACCACAAAGAAATCATGGAGCTAAATAATACAATAAGTGAACTAAAATATTCAATATAGGGGTTTAACAGCAGATAGATCAAAGAGAAGAAAGGATCAATGAACTCAAAGACTGGGCAGTGGAATTCATCCAATCAGAGGTGCAAAACATTTAAAAAACGAAAAAGAGTGAAGATGAAGGGACTTATGAGACCATTAAGTGGACAAACATATGCATTATCTGGGTCCCAGAATGAAAGAGAAAGTGGCAAAAAAGTTATTTAAAGAAATAATGGCTAAAAACTTCCTTAACCTGGAGAAAGAAACAGACATCCAGATCCAAGAAACCCAACGAGTACCAAATAAGATGAAGCTACACCGAGACACATTATAATTAAATTGTTAAAAATTAAGGATAAGGAGACTCTTAAAAGGAGCCAGAGAAAAGCAACTTGTTACCTACAAAGGAACCCCTATATGACTACTAGTGAATTTTTTAGCAGAAATTCTCCTTGTCAGAAGGAAATGGGATGATATATTCAAAGTGCTGAAAAAAGCCAAAAAACTGCTAATCAAGAATACTCTACTCAAGAATACTCTATGTTGGGTATTATGCTAAATGAAGTAAGTCAATCAGAGAAAGACAATTATCATATGAACTCACTGATACGTGGAATTTGAGAAACAAGACAGACGATCATAGGGGAAGGGAGGGGAAAATGAAACAAGACGAAACCAGAGAGGGAGACAAACCATGAGAGACTCTTAATCTCAGGAAACAAACAGGGTTGCTGGAGTGGAGGGGGTGGGAGGGATGGGGTGGCTGGGTGATGGACATTGGGGAGGGTATGTGCTAGGGTGAGTGCTGTGAATTGTGTAAGACTGATGAATTACAGACCTGTACCCCAGAAACAAATATTATATGTTAATAAATAATAATAATAAAATAAATTAAAAAAAAGAATACTCTAAGTTGTCCTTCAGAAATGGAGAGTTTTCCAGACAAAAAGCTGAAGTTCATCACCACTAGACTAGCTTGCCTTGAAATGTTAAAGGGAGTTCATTAAGCTAAAATGGAAGCTACTAATCAGCTCATTGAAAACAGTATAAAACTCACTGATATATAAATTCAGAATATTGTAATGGTGGTGGGTTAATCACTTACAATTCCAGTACAAAAGTTAAAAGACAAAAGGATTAAAAATAACTGTAAATACAATAATTTGTTAATGGATACACAGTATGAAAAAATAAATTGTGCAATCAAAATCATAAAACACAAGAAGGGAGTGTAAGCATATAGACCTTTTGTATATGGATATATATCTGAAGGAAACAAAATCAGTATCTTGAAGAGGTATCTGTACGCCCATGTTTACTGTAGCATTATTCACAATCGGCAAGATAGGGAAACAACCTAATTGTCTGTCAATGAATGAATGGATAAAGATGTGGTATCTATACACAATGGAACATTATTCAGCCATGAGAAGGAAATCCTGCCATTTGTGACAACTTGGATACCTTGAGGGCATTGTGCTATGTGAAATAAGCCGGACAGAGAAAGACAAATAATGTATGTTACTTGAATGTGGAATCTAAAAAACCAAACTCGTAAAAACAGAGTAAAATGGTGGTTGCCAGAGGCTGGGGGCGGGGGGGGGGGGTGGCTACTGAGGAGATTTGATCAAAGGGTATAAACTTCCAGTTATAAGATGAGTAAGTTCTGGAGATCTAATATACAGCATAGTGACTATAGTTAACAATAGTGCATTATATACTGAAAGTTGCTAGTACAGATCTTAAACATTCTCAGCACAAACAAATGGTAATTATGTGATGGGATGGAAGTGTTAGCTAAGGCTATGGTGGTAATCACTTTGCAATATTTAAGTGTATCAAATAAGTTATATGCCTTAAACTTACACAATATATATTTTTTTAAGATTTATTTTAGAGAGGGAGAGAGAGAGCGCACACATGAGCGGGGGTGGGGACAGGGGCAGAGGGAGAAGGAGAGAATCTCAAGCAGACTCCCAGCTGAGCGCAGAGCCTGACGTAGGGCTCGATCTCAGGACCTGAGCCAAAACCAAGAGTCAGATGCTCAACCAACTGAGCCACCCAGGTGCTCCAATTTACACAATGTTACATGTCAATTATAATTCAATAAAGCTGGAGGGGGAGATATGCTTCACACAATTTTAGTGTGCCTCTAAGCTAAAAAATCATCTAATTGGCACCACGGTGTATTTCCAAGTACCCTAATCCAGTGAAGAAATACAGTGGACATCACAAAATGACTTTTGTCTTTTTGATTACTACTCATTAAAGTGTTACTTCACATAACTCTCCTGGTGGCTAGATGTCCAGAAGTCATAGAATTGTCCACTTTACAAACAAGACAAAAGCATCATGTATTTTGCTGCGCTCTTGATGTGGGTGCACACACAAGAGTGTTTCTCAAGCAGTGGTCCCTGGGCCAGCAGCATCACCTGGAAACTTCCTAGAAATGCAAATCTTCTGTCCCACCCCAGACCTACTGAATCAGAAACTTTGAGGTGTTAAACAATCTGGGCTTAATAAGCCCTCCAGGGAATTCTGGCACACACTAAGTTCTCAAGTTATTGAATTAAACATCAGTCCTTAAAGATGAAGTAAATTATATGCAAGAGGAAAAATAGCACAGGTTAAGGTTAACTTCTGCTGCTGGTACATGAGATGAGTTCACAAGTCAAGTCCAGGGTCGGCTACATGGGCACACAATGCTTTGGCAGTGCAGACTTCCAGAATGAATGAAATGAGGTGGGCCTTGAAAACTGGATGAATCCCAAGGAGGAGAGGATTCAAACAACAGCAACCAGTGGAGACGAGCCACTACTGAATCCAGTCTGTGCAGTTCTCCTTGACAAAACGTGACTGGTTGTATGTGGGTGACGACTGTTTGCAAGGACATGTCCAGTGAGGTGTCAGTTTGGGCCAATTGCCTTATACAGATCACGTGTCGCAATCAGCTGAAAGCCAGTGAATGTGGCGTCACTGACCCCATCATTAATGTAAATCAGACAAATAATAGGAAACACTTTTATTCTTTAAAAGCAACTGTTTTAAGAAAAAGGAATCAAAACTGTACTTCTTGGTAATCACACTGATCATTATCAGGATAGTACATGCTATTAGGAAAATGTAATTTCTTTTTTTCTGAGATGCTCCCTGCTGGATGATCAGCATCTACGCTATAACGATGTGAACAATACACACTATGAGCATGTTTACTGAGCAAGACAAGAGCCATGGCTTACTCTAAATACTTTCCTTGGCTGCAGTAGATGACCAAATTTGATTATATGTTTTCAGAGCTTAGGAAGGCTAACCACCTAATCATGCCAGAGCTCAACAAACAGCATTAATAATCACCAAAAAAGGCACTTTAAAATACATTTGACAAGGAGTGACACTAATGCAATGAGAACTGGTCTAAGCCCTGCACTAAACTTTGTCATAGATCATATAAATAGTGCATTCGCTTTGTTTCCATACGTATATATAAATATATATATGTGTGTATATACCAACAACCATAAACCTGTATGTGTGTTTATCTTCATAAGTCTCTGGGTAGGGGAAAAAAAACCTTTGCTGTTTCCTTTAATTTAATAGAACACAAAAATTCTAGTCACTTCACACCTGCAACAAAGAATGAGGAGACGGGCAAATTAACGCAAAAAAGTACCCTACTACACCTTTGTGTATTGACCAAAAAAGCAGTACAATAAATACTCAGAACTTTCCTAAGTTGTCAACTATTAAAATAAAAAAATCTAGTGTTTTAACAAAGTTTATTAGACTAGAGGGAACAAGGAGGATATTTTTGGTACTGTAAATCTCATACCCTCACACATCCATATTGCTTAGGTTGAAGAGAGTGGAATGAACACAAGAAATTTCTTCCACAGATTCTTTCTTTCAGTACCCAAGTTTTAGGTAAGTTGCGTTATTCCACTTAGCTTAACATATAAACAAAGTCTTGTATAAATATATTTTCAGGATGTCTAAATTCTCACGATATTTTCACAGAGTACTAAAAGTACTTAAAGGATTTTTGTGAAATAAACAGAATTGCCCACATATACCAGGCTTGGGTATTTTGGCTCGATGTTCTGAGAGACCAAATATATCCGTGCCAGAGGTGGACAAAAGGCTGACTCGTCCTTCCCAGGAACAAGTGTATAGACTTACTTTTAGATGAGAAAACAATTAGTAATGGCATTTAAAGTTTAATTACTAAACTGTGTAACGCCTGAGGACAAAAATCAGAGCAATTTTTGAAAGGTTAAGAGTCAGACTCTGGGCATTTCCGTTTTTTAGCTGCTGGTTCTTCAGTCGTGTGTGATTCTAAAGTGCCTGCGTTGGATTTGAGACTGGGGTCTGCTTTAAGGTTATCCATGGCAACAGTGAAGCCTGAGAGAAGGTACCCCCCACCTCCGCTCATCAGTAGTTTGGGATGACTTCGATCTGGCAAAACCTAATCAAGACAGAAAGACATTCATGTTTTCCTAAGCAGATAAAGCACATGATAACAATACACATGCCAGAAATGAGAATTTAAATGACAGAGATTCTCTTGAAGATTCAATCGGACCAATTCCTAAAAAGCTCCTTCCTTCATGTGATAGTGCAGATAAAAGTGTAGAATGGTTTAAATGATTTTCTTGTGAAAAATAAACCTGAAGCTGCTGCTCTCGAACCGGAGGCAAGTTCCTGGTGGCAAACGAGCCAATGTCTGTGTAGTACTCTGGGCCTACGCATGGCTTCCTTCCTATTGGCTCCAGGAAGCTTCATGGCCAACAGTGGAGCTTGGGTCCACGGAGAAGTAGCTACTGGACATATATCCAGAGCTTCCCTTCCCTGATACCTTGTTAACTGTGACAAAATCTCTTCTCTGCTGTTACCATAGCTCAAGAAGATGACCGCCATGAAGGGCAGGGTCCATTCAGGGCTTTGAGTATCCTGGATTAAAGTAGTACGAGGTCCAAGCAGCAGGGGAGGGCCTGTGGCGGCCATGGAGGTGCTGCCTCAGATCTCCCTTCAAGAGGGAACTGGCTGTGAGGAGTTCAGGCAGCAGAAAGCCTGTAGCTGAGGCTCCTTTGGGATCCTCTGCGGCATTCACACCCAGGGAGGCCATGGGCTGCTCCAAGTCGATTACTGAGCATGGGTACCCAGGACCGCAACATTTCTGCCCAATACAGGGCTCCTTTAACAGGCAATCTTTGCTCTGGGGTTTCCCATCATCCTGGCTGAGACATTCTGAAGGCCTCGCTGCAGGCTCTTCCTCCCCATCTTCCTTTCTCTCCCTTCTTTTGCAGAAATCACACCTCCACCACCATCTGAGGGCTTTCCCATCTGATCCTGCTCCCTCTCTCCCTCATCTTTCAGAGGCATCTTCCCCCATAAATCCCTTTCACTTCTAATTCACAGGACCTGAACTGACATGGGGCCCACCAGTAAATCCTGAAAACCTGCTGCAAAGACATCCCAGCAGAGAGGGGAGAGTCACTTTCTTGTCGGCCTAGGGATTTTGCTATTAGCAGTTATTCCCTCCACAATGATCTCGAGGCCTTGGAGAAACATGAACCACAACTGTTTGCATTTTAAGTGTCTCTGGACTGGAATTACAGAGTAATAGACCCTGACGTGAAAGGAGGAAAAGGGTCCAGGAAAAGCCAGGGCACTTTTGAGTTACAGGCAGATTCTTTCATCCCTGTTGACGGAAATAGGGGCGTCTATTTAACAACTTCTGGCACTACTGCAGAGAGCCAGTGACTCAGGAGAGCAGCTCCCTGGAAACGGCTGGAAGAACACGTACCTGGTAATTCCTGAGCCAGGTTTCAGACAGCCTGAGGTTGATGACCCCTCCTCTTTCCCGTAGTTTTGTGTAGCATTCCAACAGAGGCTAAAGGTATAAACAGAATTTAGTTAAGAATGCCTTGAGGGCTGCGATTTGAGTATTAACACGCAGATGCAAGAACTCCCGGCCCTTCCATTCCAGCATTACCTCTTTATACTGACAGTAGACCACAAACGGCCTTGAAGGGGCCACGAAGTCCAGCAAAGACAGCAGGAGTGGAGTGGGATGGAAACGACTAGCTACAATTAAACTACAAGGAAAACGTTAAGACAAATTCTCTACTCAGCAAAGCAGAGCATAAATTTTAAAATGCACTTAAAATGATCATCTACTGGGGCCCTTGGTTGGCTCAGCTGCTTCAGTGTCTGCCTTTGGCTCAGGTCATGATCCTGAGATCCTGGGACTAATTCCCGCTTTGGGCTCCCTGCTCTGCAGGGAGTCTGCTTCCCCTCTCCCTCTGCCACTCCCTCTGCTTGTAATCTGTCTAATAAATAAATAAAATCTTAAAAAAAATGATCATCTATTCATTTGCCATGACTCACACGAGGAAGAGCTTTAAATACAACATTCTACAAATTCCAAAAAAACCCCATAAAATCATGAGATATTACTTTCTAAGAAACACAAAATGAATTAAAAGCTCTCTTGGTGCTTGGCAACTCTAAGTAGCATTTAATGACATTCTTGATTAGAAAAAAAAATTGGAAATAAATCCAACATTGTAATTCTGGCTTTCCAGTTACCGGAATCTACGTCTCCTGTCAGGTTTTCCTTGGCCTTTACCATTAGCCAGCATCACATCAATTTGAATGCCCTACCACGGGCATGTAGCAGGACCACACAGACTCATCTGGTTCACTGTCACTGGAGACATTTCAAATTCATTCTAAAACTCTGAAACCAGCACAATCAATTTCCCACCTCCACCAGATGCAGCCTTCTTTCTTTAAAAACCCAAGGCAGACTCACCATCTCTGCTCCCACTGTAATCAAAGCCGACACACACACAGACAATTCTAATCTGTTTGAAGCACAGCCCACGAGCACCCAGATATCTGCATTCCTTCATCAACGCACCCATCTGAGTTTCTTTCACTCAGCAGAGCAGCAGCCTCCAAATGTCTTTTCCTTTGCTCTTCTTGTCTCCTTTGCTTTTCCTGAATCTTCAAGAAGAAAAAGAAGAAACTAATGTACTGAGGTCGTTCAGTCAGGTTCATGGATATGCCGGTCAGAACATTTCCACAGTACTTATCAACTTGGACTAGAGCAACGGAAGGTCATTCATGAGGAAGTTGAAAACACACAAACCCGTTTGTTATAGAACAATCAGTAAGCTACCTATACAATGCTTCTGGATCCTGAAGCTCCATCCCAAAGAATACACCACAAACGTGCGTACACCCACACACACGTTTTCTCCATCTATTTTGGTATTTATTATCTTGGGCACTGATGTTCCAAAGCCAAACCAAATCTCAGTGCTTCGATGAAGTTAACTCAAACTCTGAGGGGAATATTATGAAGGTTAGGGGGACTCTTAACACTTACATAATCCTTTTTGCTTCCTCTCTCTTTAGGCTCCTTATATTCTGGATCTTGAGAGACGATTTCCATTGTTTCCTGTTCTGGTGGATGATGGCTCTCTTGGGCTTCTGCCACGCTGTCTTCATTCTCCTGTTCCGAAGTCTGTTTTTCCTCCAGGGTGCCATTACTTTCTTCAACTGAAGCACTGTCTTTAGGCTCTGAAGATAGCATCTCCGCAGAAAATGTTCCATTTAGGAGACTGTCCACTTTGTTGAGTGGGAAATCATAAAGACCACTGAGGAAAGATTTGGGAAATCCAAAACATGCTGTTGCTGCCCGAACAGGTCCACCTCCAGGGTACAGCTGAATAATGGAACCAAAACCTGAAGAGATTAAAAAATTAACAGCTGCTCGATGGAGGTGATTCTAGACTCAGCAAACCCTCAGGGTCCTCCACAGTATGAAGACTGAAGGTCTCCACTCTTCAGGGGCTGCAGGATGATGCAGCTCCCTGGGTGGTCTGTTCAGCCACTCAATATTCCCAGTGAAGGAAATATAATTCCAAAACACATGAACCTCCACGTGACACTATGGTAAAACCCTGTGATCGTGCAAATTTGGGTGTCACATGATTGGTAATTGGCTCTCAGCTTTCCCCCAGTCCAATCCTCAATCAGGGCAGTTAGAAGCTCTTATCCGCCACAGGATTAGAGAGAGCGTAGGCAAACCAGGCTAAACCAGGCTGTGTTGTGTTCCTCCAGGACAAAATATACCCCTCGTAGTCTTCTCATCCAATCCCCTCAACTCAGGCCAATAAAATGAGAACCAGCTATTCAAGAATTTACTGAAATCACTGTCCTGGAGGTCCAAGCCAGCCAAAGGCTTCTTAAACATCCCCACTGATACTGAAGTTGGGGCAAGGGCAATTGCCATCCAGGGGCACCGACACAGCACTGGCTGGGAGATGTGGACGCTGCAGGAAGGTCCTAGGGACTGGGGTGGTGCGGGCCTACCCAAGCCATTTTGTGAATCTTGCAGTAATTCAGCCTTTCTGTGCACTTGAGTTTTCAGGTCCTTCCATTCACGTCAGGGTAGTGCTTTAATGAACCTAAAAATGCTAAATCTTACCTCCCATCCGTTCCATCATTGCACCCAGCACCAAGCCTGCACAGGTTTCCATTACGATCATTTTATTGCCAGCACGGACATTTCCCAACGTCAACATCTGGGCTAGTGTATCATATCTCATGTGGCTAAGGAAAAAAGAATGATTCGTTTATTTTAGCTAAGCAGGGCCAGCTATTTTAATCATTTTTTTAAGTTTTATTTCGTAAAAATTATGTTGGTAAGATTATAGAGTGCTTTGGAGGCAACAGTAAAAAGAACTTACAATTCATGAGGTAGGAGGACACTTTATTCAGGTGAGCAAGTTTTTCATTTTACTTAAAATCATGACTTTTCTTAAAGATATATTTTCCCCCAATTATACTTTTGAAAGGAAACAAAGCGTACTTAATTTTTCCAGGTTCTCTTGCATAATACATAATTGAAAGAATGCGGGTGGATGGCTTCACAACAGTAACGATGGCTTCATACCTGGGGGAAGAAAAAAGAGGACATCTGTTTTTAAGAACTGGCTGAAAAGTATTTTATTTTTAATAATATACATTTTATAAATCCTTAAAGATTTAATGCTTTCATTCTTTCCGAACAAAATCCACTTACTTCTTTTTCTTCTTTTTTATATATTTATCTTGAGCAAATTCTGTCTTGTCCCGGAATGTTGTACTATTTTCAATTAGCTGCTGAACTATTTCCTATAAGAAAAGGAGCAAGCAGATTTCCTGAAACTTTATTTCCACTGAAATGATAACTTCAAAGGTTTCTTACCCTGGAATGTATCCAAAGGTCTGATTTTCCAGTCCCTTTTCCACAGAAGTCCAAATGAATAAACTGCATTTTTTACTCTATCTAGAACTTGTATTAAAACACAAGTACCTTTAACTGCACTTAAAACAGGGTAAAAAAACCCAGAGCTACATAATAAAGGGAGAAAGGATGTAAAGGAAACTGTCCTTCCTGAAGACACTGGCTGAAAACATTACTGAAAATGAACCAAGTTAAGCTCTGATATGCACTAAGCTATTAAATTCTCTTTTGCTAATAATATCAGTAATTCACTCACTTACATTCCTGCATAAAAGAAATGAAATCTTTGATCTACTGAATGGCATGTACATGTCAAGCTATTTCTAAGAGAAAAACAGTATTTTTACATTTCACCTTAAGTAAATCCTGCTTTAAAATCCAAGCAATTTCCTCAATACCAAACAAAAGCAAAACACAACATCCTTTGAATATTACCTCTCCTTTAATGCCTTTGTCCTTTAAAGCTTTTATGTCATCTTGAGTAAGTTTCTGAGATTTCCCATCATCAATTATATTTCGATTATCAGTGCCTGCTTCTTTGGTCTCTAAGGAAGGAAATTGCTTAATGACATTTATGATCTGAAGTTACGTAAAATCTTTCTTCTTCTAAGTTCATGTCCACATCCAGCCCATCCTGTATATGCTCTGGCCCCTGACGACCTTTTCTGACCTCATTTCTTAACCCCACTGCTTCAGCCACACTACCCTTCTGTTCCTTAGACACACCAAGCCCAGGCTCACTACAGGGCTTTGGCACCCGCTGCTCCCTCCACTTGGGAGTGCCTTCATGACAGAGCTCTAGGTCCTTCCCATCCCTCTGGGCTGAGCTCATTGTCTCAGCCACGTCTCACCCAATCAGTCTCCAGTACACCTCCCTGCTTTACCATCTTCACAGCACACATCACCATCTGCAAGTGTGTTGTCTGCCTGTCTACTTATTCTTGGTGTTCCCCACTGCTCGGTACACTTTATGAGATGATTTAGACAGTGCCTAATCATGCCTGGCACATATTTGGTGCTCAATAAAACTATGGAGGTTAGTTTAAAAGTATTTAATTAACTGGTTTGAACCAAAACTTCAATAGTATTTTAGTTACTTGATTTTAAAAATGAATTATTTTTATTTTATTAAGAAAATATTTTACGTACATTTATTTAAACAAATATTGAAATATCTAATTTTAATTAACAATAACTAAAATTATGGGGCCTTTGCTACAGGTAAGGCACTGTTAAGAACTTCCTATGTGTTATGTGACTGAACACTGGCTACAGCCTAGGCATTACATGTATTTATGGCTCCATTTTACAGATGCAGACACAAGACCTAGAGAAACCAAGTAACCTGCCTAAGGTTACAAGGCAAGTGACGAAACTGGAACTTAAACCTAGTCAGTTAAATTTGAAGCCAGACTCTTAACTCTACCTGACATGCTAACTGCCTGCAGGTGTTATCTAACTTCGGGGCACTGAAAGGACTCTACCTGCTCTTACACTGAAGTAGCAAGGATTCTTCTAGGATTAAAAACTTGGCCCAAAAGTCAGAAAGCCAGTTAATCATGGGCTGGAGCCAGAATTCCAAAGCCAAAGGCAGACCTTGCTTCATTCTACCAAGCTACAGTTCTTAGATTATAAGTTTAAATTTCCTTGGGGATAGCCTGGGTTAGCATTTTAGAATTGGGATCGACAGGTTTCAGACTAGCCAGCTCAAGAGCACCTATTTCATATACCCAAAGTAGTGCACCTGAAGTAGGCTCTTCCTTCTTCTTCTTAGGCTGAAGACTTCCTCCATTGGTCACTTCAAATGTGGTCCCATAACTATGGCCAATGACGTTATCCAGATAGAACCACTGTTTTTCAAAAGTTACTTTTCTAGGGAAGAAAATGCAATTAGCTGAATCTCATTTGCATTCAGTATAGAAAAGATAGGCTCAATCAAGTTTATTTCAAAACTGGTCTCCATAAAGAATGATCAGCAGCATGATCTCTGAACATAAACTGACAAAGGAACCAGAGAGAACTGGGTTGGGGCAGAGACATAAAATTAGTAAGAACCTACAAAAACACTGAATTTGGAAGGAGAAAAAGGACAGAAGACCTTCCTCTTCTGAGGCTCTGGTCTGACTCCAATTTGCACTGACAGGATGTCCAGACTCACAGCTTTGTGGATTTCCTGTATAGCATAAAGAGTCACCAAGACTGCCAGCCCACTGGACACACATTGTCATACCCCTTGCAACTCTTCTTTTTTTTTTTTAAAGATTTTATTTATTTATTTGAGAGAGAATGAGATAGAGAGAGCATGAGAGGGGGGAGGGTCAGAGGGAGAAGCAGACTCCCTGCTGAGCAGGGAGCCCGATGTGGGACTCGATCCCGGGACTCCAGGATCATGAACTGAGCCGAAGGCAGTCGCTTAACCAACTGAGCCACCCAGGTGCCCCCACCTCTTGCAACTCTAACTAGAAACTCTCAAAATTGAACTATCACTGAGATGACAGGGATTTAACAAATTACCTGGTCTAACTGGCTATTTTCTTTCAAAATTATCTAGTAAAAACAGAGTTGCCTAGCTGGCTCAGTCAGTAGAGAATGGGACTCTTGATCTCAGGGTCGTGAGTTCAAGCCTCACACTGGGTGTGGAACCTACTTAATAAACAAACAAAATTATCTAGTAAAGGCAAATTATATTTACAGATAAACATTACTGACAATCTATACATTTGGAAATGGTGCTTAACACTAACAGTGCTCTACTGAGGATCAGCTTTCCCCATTACCTGGATTTTTATCTTATTATCATTTAAAATGAAAATCCCACAAACAAAACAAAAAAAATTTTTTTTTCCAAAAAAAGAAAACTAATATCCCCTGAGTATTGACCAGTGTCTAGGCAGTATGTGACAGTGTTTAATATTTTATTTAATTCTCACAGTAATCCTAGGACACAGCTCCTTCCAGAAAAGCAATCTGAGGCTTAGGGAAAAAGTATCTTGTCCAAGATTCAGTTAAAAAGTGGAAGCTGGGATTAAAATCGAGGTCAGCCTGACCCCAAAGCCTGGTTCCTTCCATTATATCACACAGTCTGCTCCAGAAAAGACCAGTGGATCTCAGGAAGCCCCGCCTAGTTTTACGACATGGCCCATGTCCACAGAACTCCGAATCCTGGAAGACACGTACTGGTTAATTTTGTTTGTGCCCCACCCATACCTTCTTTTCCTTTCTCTGTGCCCCAGGAGTCTACGACAAATGCATAGAGACTCCCTCGCCAAAAGTTTCCCACTACTGCTAGACCCTGCGTGCATCACCATTCTCTGTTGGTTCTCTAAACCTTGCCACACCACTGTATGTGTATGTGTCACATCTTCATTAAATCTCCTCGCTGAATCATCTGAGTGAACTCCCGTGAGATCCTAAGTGATCCAGATAGGGTGGCTCAGTCGGTTAAGCGTCTGCCTTCGGGTCAGGTCATGATACCAGGGTCCTGGGATAGAGTCCCGCATCGGGCTCCCTGCTCAGCAGAGAGCCTGCTTCTCACTCTGCCTACTTGTACTCTCTCTCTCTCTGTCAGATAAATAAACAAAACAAAAACCTTTAAAATTAAGCAACTTAAAAGTATGAGAAAGAAAAACCAAAATTTCACCTGTATGGTCATTATAAAGCTGTGTAAACTTTGGTATCATTCATCAAACTTATAAGGACTTTGCTGCACTGCTATGTTTCAATTAAAAAGTTTAAATAACTAGTATTGGCTCTTTCCAAAAATTATATACTTGAAGGCTGACCCATATTTCTAACCAGAATTTCTGATTAGAAGAGAAAATGATGCAGATATATTTCTGGACTAAAGGGAACACCCCCCCCCCCAACCCTGTATTTCCTTGCCTTTACTAAATTGATTCTTGTGCAATAAAACTTGGTTGTCACCAGCAAGGTGCTTTGGGGACTGTTAACCTATTTTCTAATGACACCTGTTTCACTTTATTTTTTTTAAGATTTTATTTATTTATTTGAGAGAGAGAGAGAAAGAGAGAGCAGGGGCAGAGAGAGAGGGACAAGCAGACTTCCCACTAAGCAGGGAGCATGACGCGAGGCTCAATCCCAGGACCCCGAGATCATGACCTGAGCCAAAAGCAGACACTTAAGGGACTGGGCCACCCTGGTGCCCCACACCTGTTTCACTTTAAATACCAGTCAACAGTTTGATTCACACAGGAGTAAAATAATTCATCTCATGTGTGCACTTAAAACTCCAAATCTACCACTTCCTAGCCTATGGTCTGCAGAAAGCTGATCTCCTGACACTGAACTCAACTTATTTCATTGTCAAAAGTACTATAATAATCTAACTCAAAAGAAAGCTTGGTTGTACTTTTCAGATAATTAACTGAAACATCTCAATTCTTTTTCAGCATTAATGAGCTTTTGGGGTTTAACAACCTCACCACCCCTGCCAAGAAGCTACCAAAAATTCCCACTTCTCTACTATTAAAATAGAGTTGTAACTAATCAGCAGGTTCACAAATCAAGCCTAATTTCAAGTTTTGAGACCTTGAGCAAACTGTTTTTGGGGAATTTAACTTTCCTAGACCTGGCATCCCTTCCTGTAAAGTGAGGGAACCCTAGAGTGATCCTACGTGCTATGAGAAGTTGCTCTCCAACGTTATTAGGCGTAAAGTTATTCCAGTTTGGATAGAGAGAAGAGCCCGAAGGACAGAAAAGGTCGGAGAGGTTTCATTTTTTGTGGGATTGATCCTGCTGAGGGAATAGGGAGAAAGGATGGTCTATGGGGAAAAGGCAGGGGAGGGGAGGACCCTGAGAGGCAAGGATATCAGAGGATGATTGATGGGTTCTGTGAGATAACAGGAGAGAACATATCACGGACCTAGAAGAACCGCAGGACAGAAGGAAAGGTAAGCGTGCGGGGGGGGGGTGGGTGGGTGGGTATCTGAGCATCCGAGGGGCAAGAATGGAAATGGGACCCTGTGGAAAGATCGAGAGGGATGTTGAAGGCAGAAAATCAGGTTTGAAACCATGGAAGGAGCACTCTGCAGGAAGACAGGAGTGACAGGTGAGACCCCGAGGGCCGAGAATGGGACGTTGGGGGAAAAGGTCTCTGTAGGAAGACCAAAAGGAAATAACGAAAGAGAAGATTGGGGATCCACAGAATCAAGAACGGGACCCTGGTGGGAGGGGTTCTGGGGGGAAGGGATAACGAGAAAATGGGGACGGAGACACCTAAGGCCAACAACCTGACTTACTTTCTCCGCTGGACTTGCACTGCTTTAAACACATCTTCCCGTTTCAGCACCACGAAGTCGCCGTCGCGGATGCGGTGGTCCCCAGGATGCGGTGGCTGTGGGCCCGACAGCTCTCCTGAGCCCTCCATGAAGCTCAGCCGGTCTCCCCGCTCTGCAGCGTCTCTCCTGCCCCCCGCGCCCCGCCCCTCGTGCTCCGCTGTCGCCGCGGCCAGCTTCACTACCACAAGCCGAGTGGACGCAGAACCCTCCGACCGGCACCGCCCCCACGTGCTGCGCGCCGCTTCCGCTTTCCGGTCGGAACCTCGGGACAGCTTCCGGCAACCTCACGGCTGCCGTCTGGCCGGATTCTTTGATTGGCTGCACTCTGTTCCTCCCCTCTTGTCTCGCGGTTCCTTGGACGGAAGTTGCGTCACAGACGCGCCAAAAAGGAATTTGGAAGTTGACGAGTTCAGCTTGAGTGGGTAAAGGCTTTCCAGCGAGGCTGCGAGGTGTCCGGGAGGGGGGGTGGGGGTGGGGAAACTGAGGCACCCGGGCTGCTCCAACAGATGAGACTCGGCCCCCGCGCGAGGACGTCAGGAGCAGGAGGACTGCAACTGAAGGGACTTGGGCAGGAGTCACCTGAGGAGCTCAGACCTCAGTTTCTTTTTGGCCCCACCTGTCTCCCCCCACCCCTCTCCGGGAGGAGGGGAGAGCCCGGCGGGCCGTACCTGCTGCCACGAGGAACCTGCCTAGCTGAGAACCGAGAGAGCTTTGGGACCTCTATTTTTTTGCAAGTAAGAACAGCTTGAGGAGCCCTAAATGAAGTAGGGTGTTTAACGAAGCACAGCAGCCCCCCCCGCCCCCCGGGTGGCTCCTTTACTCAGTTCTGCAGTCCTATTTCTTGCGTTTGTGTTGGAATTTTTACTATTCTCACTCTGTTATCTCATTTGGGAAATATGGCAGGTAGCGTTCTCGAAGGAGCGCTTCATCTTGGGAGTCTGAAGACGGAGTTTGGAGCTCAGTATTGCCACCAAACAACTTGAATCTTGATCAGTTTCTCAGGGCTTCATTTTCCTGACTTGCGATGTGGTCTGGACGATTATCAGTTTTGTCTTGTCCTAACATCGTGAACTTGTTTGGGTATTAACTTATTTATTAATTAAATCCCTTCAGACAAATTTGGATATGGTGTTTTGTGAAGAATTGCACTACAGTGTACGGATATATTCTTTATTTCTTTTTATCCTTAGGATATGAACTATTTTTAAAAATAGACTTTATTTTTTAGAACAGTTTTAGGTTTTAGAAAAATGGCACAGAAAGTGCAGAGAGTTCCCTTATATTTTCTCTTCCCTCCCCTCAGACCGGTTCCCCTTGTTAACACCCTGCAGTAGTGTGCTACATTTGTTGCAATTAATGGACCATTATTGATGCGTTATTACTAGCTAAAGTCCAGAGTTTATGTTAGGGTTCACTTTTTCTGTAGTACAATTCCATGGGCTTTGACAAATGCATAATGTCATATATCCACCACTATAATATCATACAGAATCATTTCACTGCCCTAAAAATGCCCTGTGCTCCACCCATGAGTTTTTTTTTTTTTTTAAGATTTTATTTATTTTTTATTTGAGACAGAGAGAATGAGATACAGAGAGCATGAGAGGGAAGAGGGTCAGAGGGAGAAGCAGACTCCCCGGTGAGCAGGGAGCCCGATGTGGGACTCGATCCAGGGACTCCAGGATCATGACCTGAGCCGAAGGCAGTCGCTCAACCAACTGAGCCACTCAGGCGCCCCATGAGTTTTTTTAAAACCCATTTTAAAGGTCACTTATATTTTGAATCTTTGGTACTTAGCCAGAACTATCTTTGAGTTTAAAAAAAAAAATGAGTATCTTGCTATGTACAAAACAAAAAATGTGAAGAGAGAACTAGCAAAAAAAAAAGGATTATAATATATTAACAAATATAATATATTAACAAATAACAAATATCAAAAAAAATGATTGCATTCCAATGAATTTATCTAAAAACTAAATTTATCTAATCAGTATTGACCTGGAAATGATCTTTCTTTTATTGTCTTTTTAAGAAGTTGTTAATTCCGGAAACTTAACTTCTTTCTCATTTAACCCTACAGAGAAGAAAGATTGAAACGTGTATGTACCATGTCCCACTCCTATGCTTCCCCAGAAAGGTCTACATTAGCTGCCTATGTAAGAATATCCTTGTATCTCTGATAAAAGTGGATATGACATGCAGGATTGACTGTATATAAGGGGCTATGATGATGTATTCCTAGTGTCACAGGTCAGGATTATGTTCAGCCAGTGCTGCTCTTTTATATGTGCATTTATAAGTCTAAAACACTACAAACAGGTCATCTCAGAGTTAATTACTTGTCTTATTTTCATTGCTATAGTAGGAGCTCCTTGCAAACAGGTGCAGTACTTTATTTTTATCCCATGAACATTCAGTATACTTGGTGAAACACCATGGGTATACCTTAAAAAGAGATGGGACCATTTGCAATGACATGGATAGAGCTAGAGAGTTTAATGCTAAGGAAAATAGGTCAGTCAGAGAAAGACAAATATATGATTTCACTCATGTGGAATTTAAGAAACAAATGAGCAAAAGGGGGATAAAGAAAGAGACAAACCCAGAAACAGACTCATACTAACTATAGAGAACAAACTGATGGTTACTAGAAGGAGGTGGGTGGGGTGGGTGGGTGAAATAGGTGATGATGGGGATTAAGGATGCACTTGTTGTGGTGAGCACCAGGGTTGTATGGAAATATTGGATCACTGTGTGGTACATCTGAAACATATTACACTGCATGTTAACTAACTGGAATTTAAATAAAAACTTAGAGAGAGAGATGGGAATTAGAAGGGTAACTGCGGAGTTTTTGAGGGTACATCTCCTATTACCATAGTGTACACTGTTGCAGGCCTGTTTGCTAATCTCAAACTAGAATACATTAATTTTCTCTTATTAACTATGTTAATACATTCTTTTTTCCCCCCACATATGTAACTTTTACTATTTTTTTCTTTTTAACAGCTTTATTGAGTTATAATTTGTTTTTTTAAAGATTATGTTAATACATTCTTATCACTATTTTCACTGTAATCTTGATGAAGATCTTGGTCTTTCAGAAAATATGAATGGAGACTATAGAGGCAGAGGATTTGGACGAGGAAGATTTCAAAGCTGGAAAAGAGGAAGAGGTGGTGGGAGCTTCACAGGAAAATGGAGAGAGAGAGAACGCAGACCTGACCTGAATAAAACCATGAGAAAACATACTTCTGGTAGGAGAGGACAAGGATTGTTCAATATTTTTTTCCTCCACAAAGGAGACTATACCTGTCCTACAAAGCAGTTTAACTTAAATTTCAGTCTTATTTGATGTTACTCCTTAAAGTAGTATTCAAACATTAAGATCCAAAATTTTTACTGAAACCTCTAACTTAACCTGTAACTACTAATACCATGTCAGCTTAATCCTGGAAGGAGAAGCAAGTTGGAAAAAAAATGTTCTATTTCTCCTGACCTAGTGCTTGCTTTGATAGCACATATACTATTTCTGCTGACCTAGTATTCTGTTGCTTTGTTTTGTTTTCAGAACAAACCTCGCAGACTTTGCTACTACAATCAACATTGGATCAGTTAATACCATATAAAGGCTGGAAGCTTTATTTCTCTGAAGGTAGAGTTGAAAGTACCATAAATTCTATTTTCTTAACTTGTGTTTGGATGTTACATCTCATATTACTATCATTTGGCTTACTGATAGATGCCACCTTCTTCAATTTTAGTTCACCCAAACAATTAAATCATGTTTGTTTCAAGAATATTTTAGGTTTTATATCAGGAAAGGAGAAACCTCATTAGGTATTTCAAAAAGGGGATTTAATGCAGGGAATTAATATATACAGATGGAAGTCTAAAGAGCAAAAGGGAAACATTGAGGTAAGCCCCCAGATAATAATAACTTCTGGAAGCAGGAACCATCCTTATGGCTGAGGGTACAAAAGGTAAGAAGTTCTGAAGTGGCCAAGACCTAAGAATTCAAAGGAAGGGCTGTTGCTTCAGCCACTGAGGGGTACCCTACAAAGCTGTGCTTGGACCTCTTAAGGGTGCCCTTCACACCTGTGCTTAGACCACTGCAGTGAATGAAGCTGCTTGTTGGTGATAACTCTGGTGGGACGATTACACAGTTGATGCTCAGAGCCGGAGGCTGGAACTATAGCTACTTTCTCCAGCTGAAGAGATGCTGAAAAGAATTAGAAACAAAAAATCTTTCTTTCTTGCCACCTTCCAGTCTTTAAAGTGCCTGCAATTGGCAGAACCTAGAGGGAGTCTGGGAAATGCACTGTGCAGATCTCGATCATAGCATCACAGAGCAGAAAATGGAGGGGTGGGCTTGGAACCGAGAGACCACCAACACAGGTTTGTGTAGAAATACACTTAAGGAATCTCCCCTTTTATAATCAAGAACAAAAGCTAGCATCATATACTTGTCTTTATAGGTTTGGAGACTAGTCTTTTCTGCATTTTTTTTTTTTTCTTTTAAGATTTTATTTATTTATTTGACAGAGAGAGACACAGCAAGAGAGGGAACACAAACAGGGGGAGTGGGAGAGGGAGAAGCAGGCTCCCTGCTGAGCCAGGAGCCGGATGCAGGGCTCGATCCCAGGACCCTGGGATCATGACCTGAGCTGAAGGCCGACACTTAACGACTGAGCCACTCAGGTGCCCCTCTTTTCTGCATTCTTAACAGTTTCTATGATATGTCTTTTATTAGTTATGGGTTATATGTGCATATATATCTGTGGGTTATTTTCCCACTAGATTGTGTACTTCTTTAAGAGGGCAAAGACCTTGCCCCATACCAGGCACTCAGTATTCATTTGGTGAATGAATAAAGTGCTTTACAAATGTTTTCTGTATTGCGAGTCTGTTTTTTTTCTATTATATACACAGATGTGTTTCATAACTGATGTGTCTTTTGCTGCTTTAGGATGCATTAGCTAGCTGTTAGCCCAGAACACTAGAAGTGATCTTTAGATTGGTCCTAAAGATGGAGTTCAGGAGATACCTTAAGTTTATATCCTCTATACTTCCAAACTACTTCACGGTATTATTTCTCTGTGGGAGACCAATTTGAAAATGTTACAGAACTTCCAGTATAAAGGTTTTAGGACCAGAGTGAAGTAGTGGTCTGTCTCCTCTCATTTCAGGATGTGGCAATATGGACTAGT